GTCCTCTGCAGAGGAGGCAGCGCCTGAGGACCTAGGGGGAGGCTCACCCATATCCCTGGCAGAGGTAGTTAAAAAGCTCCTTGGTGGCAAGGCGCCGGGGGTGGATGAGATCCGCCCTGAGATGCTGAAGGCGCTGGACATAGTTGGGCTGTCCTGGCTGACACGCCTCTTCAATGTCGCATGGGGGTCGGGATCAGTGCCCATGGAATGGCAGACCGGGGTGGTGGTTCCCATCTTCAAGCTTTCGACCGGGTCCCTCGGGGGGTCTTGTGGGGGGTGCTGCGGGAGTATGGGGTGCCGGACCCATTACAAGGCGCGATCCGGTCTCTGTAAAACTGCAGTAGGAGCTGTGTCCGCATTCTCGGCAATAAGTCAGACACGTTCCCGGTGGGTGTTGGCCTCCGCCAGGGCTGCCCTTTGTCACCGGTCCTGGTCGTGATTTTCATGGACAGGATATCTACGCGCAGCCTGGGGGCGGAGAACGTCAGTTTCAGGGGGTCTCGGGATCGCCTCTCTGCTATTTGCATCTAATTAGGATGCCCGACACTAAATATACTAAATATAGCGTACAGTGCATTCAAATTAAATTTGTTTTTGCAACGTTCACATAATTGACACCAAAGACGAAAGGAAAAATATGTAAAGCTTTGTGGTATTGACATGGAATCTGGTAGGAACAGAGAGCATACACAAACAAACCTGTATGGTTGGACCAACAATAATTAAGATTGGTACAAACAGACATCTTTTTTTCCCTTCTATTTGTACATTGCCGTCACTGAATTTCTTTGGCTCTGTGCACTTTCTATGAGATGTAATTGAGAAACTTTTACACACATAGACTAGAGATGCATTTTTGCCGCGCAGTCGTAATAGGTTGCCTGTACACACAGAGGAAAGGAATAAGGATGTTATGAAAGTCAGAAGCCAACAGCCAAATGAGCTGGAATGCGGTTTACAGATTTGCATCCACGCTGAAGGTTTGGCTGCGTTCAAATTTAGTCATTTAATGCAGGAAAGAAGTGAAAGTGACATGTTCTTCCTACCTTGTAACATCCTACTGCCTTGTTGATGTCTCCCTCTCTCTCGAAGAGCTGTCCCAGGAATTTATGTGCTTTCGGATCTCTCTCCTGGACTTTGAGGTACTCGGATACATGTCTAGGAAGAGCATGAAAGATGTAAGATTTATATCAACACAATGGAGAGCTCTTGAGAAGCAATGATACATCCAGTCAACAACAGGGAAGCTTGTGTCCTCACCTTTTGGCCAGTTCATATTCCTTTGCTTCAAAGTACAATTTGGCAAATAAAAACCCTTTGACTGGCTTCTGTGGAAAGAAGACATTCAAGAGGAATATCAATGAACCAACAATGTTTGAAGTAATTATATTCATATTTATAGTAGTTATGTTAGCTAGCAGGCACAAGGATAACATCATTATTTGTCTTATAGGTACATTTTCCTGGATACAAATGACCTTTACACTCGGATATATATAGTGTCACTGGAACATTTGGCTCTTTACCAAAACTAAAGACCACAATGGAAATATTACAATTTCTGGACTTTACTTTGTAATTCGTGTAGTTTGGTTGTCATTCAATGCCCTGATTCCAACAGTGTCAAATAACCTAAACTATGAGGTTATTGTATATAGAAAATGTTTTATGCTTAACGTTAAGTTAGCCAGTCAAGTAACTTGTTTACAAGTTACTTAGTGAGCATTTAAGCTAACGTTACGCTTCCTGAGTAACGTTAAGGTTTTGGCGTACAGCTAGTATGGTGTTAACTTACATGAGGGGAGAATGAAGCCATGTTGTTCACAGACGGTAACGTATTAAACTAGTAACGTTACTAGCTGTGCGCGTAACTTAAATCAAAGTATAGCTGTGCAAGTGGTGGCTAACTAGCACGGCTAATTGTGGCTAGCGCTGCTGCAACAAGCCCCATGCCGCCAATTTGTGGGTAGAAATGAGAGGACCGGCCGGTCTAACGGAAGGACCGCACGCCGGACGGTTAACCGACGGTTAGCCGGCTGCTAACCAGGAACAGTTAACGGATGTTAAACTGAACACACAATCCAAGTTAACGGACTAAACGGCATCTTAATTAAAACAACTGGTGCTTGTTTCCTTACACCGGTTGGCTGACACATGCTGGTCTGACATGATGGCAGGGACATGCTAGCGTTAGCCGCCGGGGCTCAACTTACCTCTTTGAGTGAAGGAGACGAACTCTGTACGGAGGAGACGTAACGGTCCACTTCAACTTTACTCCGCCGCATGACTCCCCCCAAAAAACGGATTCTTCTAAAAACGGTTGACTATGGTTCATAAGAGTACCGGGAATTCACAACAAACCATTAATATCGGTTCCACTGTCACTCCGTAATGCTAACTCCCCACATTGCGCAGTCTCATTACAGTCAAATGGCAGAGAGGTCACGTGGGCGATGTGCTCACTTGAATTAACCAATGAAAAGCGAGTATTCAGTATGACGAATAGAGGTGGGGTGAACCATCTGTCTGGGCCACATACTCTTTGCATTATTTGTGTATAAAGTATAATTCAAATAATCTGCTAATTATTCTACACAACAATCATCAAAAACTAGTAAAATCTCATTTGGTTATATTTTGCAAGATGGATATTTATTGACGATAAAAGGGAAAGATAATAAGTAATAGTAATAATTGCAATGGTTTAAAGAAAGTTATTTTATTAAACCATGCATAATACTTTATCAGGGACAGTTTAAGTAGTGTATTACAAGTACTAAACGTGTGTATTAAGTGTCATAAAGCCGTAATTACCTCTATATCCATGTTGTCTGTACTTTATGCATGAGTGGGAGTAAAGTTGTACCACAACACCCACTCAATATTATGTTTCCAAGAAAGGATTTCATAGCTCAAGTAAGTCCACAAATGTTACTTTCAATGTAGCACAATTAAGCCAAAACCTGCTTCAACATTTAGCATAAAACATAATGTAAAAAAATTAAAAACATTACTACATGCACATTGGTATGATTGACACACACTGTTTATTAAGATGAGCAGACATAATTACCGTAGATATAATGAAAATAGCTCTTAATTCAAGTCTAGAACATGCACTTTGGTGTGTTTACATGAAATAAATACAGTCTCTTGACAAGCAAAGATCAAATACAGAATAAGAGCAGTGTCTGTCTGTGTAGAGTCGTCTCAGACCTATTATAGAGGAGCTGAAGTTCAGAGGATAGCTCTACTTCTACATGACAAATGTTGTGGCACAGGTAGTGAAACAGTAAGACATTTCTATATAATAGTGGAATGTGTTTTTCTATTAAACTACAAGGTAAAAGATAAGCATTCTGTGTTAAAATACTGCTCAAGTGAAGCTATTCTTTCCCCAGTCGCAACAGTTGGCTTTCTTTCCTAAGAGGCTCTGAGGCAGTCGGTACGCCCCTCTAAGAGGATCCCTTTCTCTGGATTACAAACAGCAGAGACACATGTTCTCCAACATTCGGCCTCCGCACATACCACAAGGCATCATGTTGCAGGACGCACAGAGTTACCAGTTGCCCCTGCAATAAATCCTGTTACTGCGAAGCGTATTACGTTCAGTGTTTGTTGACAGTGTGTCAGAGGTGCTTCTTCTAATATCCAGTCGCCATCTTGTATTTAATACTGTAAATGGGAGTAGATAAAACAAAAACTGAACAGTATGAACTCGGGGTTTATTTTGGCAGTTGTGTTGGATTATATTAGATTGTACAAGTGCACCTAATAAACTGGTAACTCGGTGTAAATACCAGTTGATATAGAGATTGTTTCACACATAGCACATCATACTGCAGGTGACGGGTGAGTCCATCACTGTAGCATTAAGGACGAGACAGTATGATGTCAAACTGTAAATACACAACAACTTTATAGATAACACAAACTTATTTAGCACAATATAAAAGAAAATACACATTAACAATCCATAAAATAATACATGTTGGTGGAAAACAGGAAATATGAGGCCCTATATCTACATTTAATAAAACTGTATTTTGCTCGACTTTCTTTGGGTTTACTGCATTATTATACGAGAGTAACATAAATCAAACAGAGGACACATGGCGAGGCATCATACCTTTTTATCATTCTCATGTTTCTGTATTCTTTTAAAGCTCATTTTGAGATACAGGACCATCATCTTTAATATATATAGTGAAATAAGGCAAGCATGTGAAAAATATTCAGTACAGTATTTGACCCAAAAGGCACTGAACAGGTTCATTTCAAACCTACTGACAACAACCTGTCAGTTTCAAGATCATAAAAAGATCTTCTATAACTGAAAAGACAAAAAGTTTGCACGTTACGCTGAAATTACCAACCTAAATTTAACATACCGATTATGTAAAACATACAAATGCTTTGTTATACGATTGTCAACCCTGGACATGTGACTTGCATGGCCAAATGGGAGGGGTCTCATCTATTTCTCCCTTTTTTCCTGTTTACTTCCGGGCAACAGTTTCAGACAGCTTCTTCAGCCTCTTCTTCAGCTCCAGAGGGAATTTCTCATAGCACTTCTTACACACCGGCTTCATGTCAAACTCCACAAACTTGTTCCTGCGGGAGAGAGAGTGAAAGCCACCGTTACAGTTCGGATGTTAGATTTCATCACTGCCAGTATGTGCGCACCTCAATCTCAATGTATGTCCAGTTTGTGGACACACACTTCAGCACTGACATGATGGCCGTGATATTCAAAAAATGATTTTTTTATTAGCACGTTAATAATACACATATGATAACATAGTTGATCCAGCGCCTTTCCTTTAATTACACCAACACTGGTGAGCTCTTTAACACCCTCCCCCTCCAGCTGTCCTGGACGACATTTGTTCCTGAAGCACATAATCGCTGGCCGGACCGGGGCACCTGTTAAACCTCGGTGGGACCTCAGCACTTCCACAGCTGGGGCCAGAAAGCTGCCGGAAGTGATTATAGCGTTACCCTTTATACCCAGACAGACCATATGACAGACCAGAGTACGAGCCTTAATCCTGACTAGTGTTTCTGGCCCGAGAGGCGGTCATGTACCGACACATTTCCAGCGCTAGGCCTCTCAAACATATGCAGTCTCTGCTTATTCACGCACTAAACGTCTGCTTTCATCTTTTGGCTCGACAGCCAGATGAACAAAGTTGGATGAGGATGAGGATGAGTATAGCATGGAGCATGTTTGAAATATGATGACAGTGAAACAACAAAAGAATAGAAACCGGAAGAAAGATGGAAACTGACCAAAGGAAGGAACAGTCGAAGTGAGGAGAAAGCAGAAAGAGCGGATCACAGACACATGGGTATCATTGGTTTCTTCTTCTTCTCTTTTGAGTCGCGTTCGCGCTTGGCCAGCCGCCGCTTCATGTCGTCCGGCAGGCGTTCGTAGCAGTGCTTACATACCGGCTTCAGATCCACCTCCACAAACTTATCTCTGACGGAGCAGCGAGGAGGGAGAGATAGCGCGGGGGTTTGAAACAGGGGAAGAGAAGAGGAAGGGCAGTTGGAGAGGAGGAGGAGGAGGAGAAAGACGCCAAGGAGGCATAAGTAGAGGGAAGAAGAAGGATGAGAGGAGGAAAAAAAAGAAGAGGTAGGAGGAGAAGGAGGAAGAAAGTTGGAGCGAAAAAGTGGAGCAAGAGAAGCGCACAGGAGGACAAAGAAGAGGGGATGGTAAAAGGGAGGAGGGGTGGAGAAACAAACCCACAAAGACACAGGGTTATAAGAGAAAGGTGGAAAAAACAGGACTGAAAAACAGACAGTTAACAGCAGTAAGTAGTCTCAGATGCAGGGTACTGAAAGAGAAAGAGCGGCCAAGTCACATGTGACTTTCTGTCAGTCTTCAGGGAGCTTAACTGATAACATACAAGTACATAATCTATCTTAACGTGTGTGGATTGATCCCACTCCACAGGGACATTATCAACGTTACAGGGTGTCACTTACTTGAGGGTGAGCTTGGTGTTGCAGGTAGAGCAGGCAAAACAGTTGACACACCAAGCCTTGTTGAGGGCAGACACCACTGACGAAAATAGAAAAACACACACACTGTCACATGAGACACTGTTCCAATTTACCGTCACAAGGCTGAAGTTAAATGGGTTTGGTTTAGTCGGAAGTTCAGAATCTCATTTTTAGGCAAAATCTGCAAAACAAGACATCTGCACACGTCGTTTTCTTACCATCTCCTTCAATAACACGGTTGCAGTGGTAGCAAACATCTCCAAACAGCTGAGTGTGACGAAGGAAGAGAAACAGAGGGTGAGCAACACCAGCGACAAATCTTATACGAGTTATAAAGATCTGTAACATAATGCAGTGCTGGAAGTCTTTATATCACATGACATGCTGTATTCAAAAAAACATGCAAACAAACACGGGCTAACTAACACAAGTTGTTACACTGACTTTCTGATCCAGCGTGGTTCAGATTGAGACTTGTTCAGAGCAATTTCTTTAGAATCGAAACTGTAACTGAATTTTACTTCAACTATCTACCAGTTTATGCAATTCAAAGGGAAGATTAACTGTAAAACTAATCAAAGTTCAGTGTTCAACATAAATATACTCCGAACGCGGCTGAGCGTTACCTGGTTATAGTGCGTCTCACAGTAGGCCAGGCCCTTGCGCTCGTAGTGACGGTGTCCCAGGAAGGGTTTCTCACACTTGGCACACACAAAATGCTGCAAACAAACACCAAAGCCAAGCGCACAAGTGTTAGCGCAACAGTATCACATTCACACCGCGTCACAGTCAACAGCACCACGGTCTGACTTCGACGTTATCAGGTCAGACCACAACCAGATCAGTTCAGTCCAGATGTCCTGTTTTGGTGGACGGAGGAGTGAGCTTGAGAGGGGGCGCTACTCCTCCAACCAGACATGTGAGGAACTAATGGTTGGATATGACAGAATTAAAGGGGGACTGAATGAGGACCCCTCATGTGTCCGTGTATGGGGACACCTTGGATGAGTATGGAGTAGGATGACACCAATATGGATTTTCTAAAGCCAAAACAAAGATGATTTTGCAAGCCTATATATCTGTCAATATTCAATGATGTGAAATTTGACGATTACCTGAGATAAAGAACAGATTTCCAGGATAATTTCATTCTTCTAGTGTATAAAAAGCCTCTGAGTTACGAGGTAACTCGGTTGAGAATATGATCTGAAATCAATCTGGCCTGTAGATCTCTGCTCTGGACCACAGTGCTGGACAGACAGACGGACACTAATGGGTGAACTATTAGTGTAACCCTTTGTAGCCAGGCAGGGAGAAGTAGGACACGGGGCAGCAATCAATGTCAGGCCGATGCTTAAACCCCCTCACCATGTCGAAGTGTCTCTCACAATAGGCTCGACCACCTCGCTCAAAAAACGGGTGGCCCTGAAATGGGCGCTCGCACACAGTGCACACGTGATGCTTTGTGTGGAGCAGGGGAGACAGGAACATGAGCATAACATATGAACAGACAGAAGGAAATAGGAAGACAGGCGGTGGAATGACACCAGAGAGAATATAACAAAAGAGACGGGTAATGGAGGAATGGTGGATGAAGCCCGGAGATGGAGCGCAATGAACACAACTGTGGAGATAAAGCTGGGAGAAGTATGAGTCACACATGTGGCACATATTGAAGTGAACTCATTGGAATGAAATGAAATGTACACAAGTAAATTGAGCAGGAAATCCATAAAACAATTATTGTAAATATCATAAATCTCAGAGATTTCTGTTCGGTTCTGTATATAGAAAACAGAGTAATAATCATTTTATAGACACTACATCATTTAACATGTACTGTACATACATCTGGAACCAACCTGGCAGACGATACCAAATCAATGAAGTCATTGACAATGTGTGAATCCAGTGAATATATTCAAGTAGTGTGTCCTAATCTTCAGGGAACCGTGGTTGTTTTTTTTTTTTAAAGTTCCTACCTCCACATGCCACTGTTTGCCCATGGCATTGACCACACGGCCCTCGATGGGTCTCCTACAGGCCCCGCAGATGGGGACCCCCATCTTGTCGTGGCAGGGCAGACAGTAGAGCTCCCCCTTCAGCTCCCTGGCATCCGCCGTCAGCTCCTTACTGCAGAGGAAGAGGTCAACAACATCATCTCCGAGATCATCATAATGCAAGTAAAGACTATTTCACTTATGTCAAGAGTCACTTGGACTGAGTCTGATCACAGCATGGCACACCTTGTGTGTATTTGTGTGTGTGTGTGTGTGTGTGTGCAATTGCAATGACATAGTTTGTCCACAAGAGAGCAGTATCATAACTGCTGAACAAATAAAGTGTGAACCCGTCATGTGATTAAAAGACCTCTCTATCTGTGAGTCTGAGGCGTTTTCACAACTCACAACCTGACTCAGCTTGCATCCACCGTCTACTGTAGCCTGAAGCCCTCCCGCTGTCTGAATGATTTGTGAGACTGACGCACAGCTGGGAAAGTTTTGTGTGTGTGTGTTTGTGTGTGTGTGTGCATGATTACCCGCAGTTGTTGCAGTTGAAGTGATCAGGGTGGTACGGGTCGTTCTTGAACAGAAGAGGCTGCTCCTCGATAATGGCGTGGCACTTCTGACAGATGTACTTGCCGAGGCCTCGAGCTTTCTCTCTGTTGTGACATGGACGACACAGGTGCCTGATGGGAGGGAGAGGAGCAGGTGAGAGGAGAAGTTGACAAAAAGAGATACTTGATGAGACACTTAAGTGATCTTCTGAGATAGATTAGTAAAGTCTAGGCCTGCATCAAATAGTTTGATCGTTCGGTTCGGTCTAGCAGCACCATAAACTACATTTATATAATGACAATAACACTTTTTTTTCTTCTTTTTTAGGGTAAAAATACGACGACAGACATTCAAAGCTTCATGTACGGTCTTTCACCTTCATCATAACTTTTGAGGCAGAACGGTTAAAAGGAGATCAACGAGGACAAGGTCTTAAGAATGCTTGACATGGCTGTGTAGAAGTCATAGAAACATCCCCCTGCCTCGCAGTAGACATGAACTGATGATTGGTTGTAGAGGAACTGACCTTCCAGCATTCTTAACAAATCCAACATCAGCGAGTACGGCACTGCAGAGATCACAGCAGAAGCAGTCTGGATGCCAGCTGTTGTTCATTGCCTTGATCACGCGGCCAATGATGAACTCCCCTTAGAGAAGAAGAGAAGATTATGGATTATTGGATATTGTTTAAAAGGGCATAAACTCAAAGCTCCATCTCCATATGACCCCGAACACGTCGGGTCAGGTAGAGGAAGTGGATGGGTGCTATTTATTCTCCGTCACTGCAGTTCCTGTACTCACCACACTGGTGGCAGCAGGGAGCGAACAGCATCTGGAAATCATGTTCACAGTATTTCCTGCCTTCAAACTGTCGACAGGGTTCAAACAATTTGTACACAGTTAATTAAAGCACACAGCTGTACATTAACACAATATAATAGGCTGTGTGGCAAACAAACATTTATAATAATTACACTTTTTTTTCAGCCAGATAATCTTTACAAATGGACACCACTATGATTTTGAAGCGTAGTAAAAAATCCATCGACTCGGAGATAAGAGAGCCAGCAGTGCAAAGATGCTGACTCATATCTGGGTTTTAGGACTCATTCCTGCAGCACTCTATATGTTATGTTGATCATAAATGGCAGCACCAATATGTCTCTGTTCCCCAGCAAAAACTTGAACATGTTCTGATTGGTTCTTGAGAGTTACTTTTTTGACGACTCAGCTTAGAGAGCTTAAATCTATCAAAAGAGTCTTGATGATGAAGATGGATGACATATATGGCATTACTGTTCTTTATTTTATCTTTCTGTCAGCACAAAATGCAGATGTGGGCTAAAATATCTTAGTCACACGGACCGAGTCACAAGTTTGCATGTGATACTACTCTGTAGTATGTGTATGAAGTGTATAAACACTGGAGTATTCCAAACAGATGGTTGGTACCACACTATAGCACATTAGCTGTACAATTACTTACAATTACTTAATAAAATCCATACTGAGGATACCAAAAACTACATTTTCAGAATTTCTACATACATAAAATAATTATAAATAGTTATTTGTGTGGCTTTTATGTTCTTTCCACTTTAAATATAAAAAGCCTAACTCAGTATGGTCCTACTTCATCACAGAGAGACGGGCCGACTGTTGCTTATTTATGGCAGCAGGTTGAATTATTTACAGGGCCCCAGAGGTTAATGTAAATCCTTTGGCTTTGCTGTTGTATTGAGCGGTGCATTAGCGACACCTTCTCTGCAATAAACTCATTGAACAGAGAAGCATCGGGTCCTCTGGGGCCAGCCGGAGAATCATCGGGCCTCGTGTGTCAAGGCCGGTAAGCCAACAACTTACTGGAACGGGCTTCGAATAGTTGTGCCCACCCGTCTTTATTTACCTCAACAGGGCCGTGTGTTTAAATTCTTTGTCTGAGGAATGTGCACCAACAACAGCCGTGTGATAAAAAGTGATCTAACTGTCTGGTTCATCGACTCATCGCGGCCACTGGAAATGTGTTTTAAGCTGCTAAAAGAAGCGTCACTATGATTTTGATATACATTTTTTGAGATGATGAATTTTAAATGTGTGAGGACAAAGTGTTACCTCATAGAAGAGTCCCTCTGGGAACTGTTGGAAACACTGGGCGCACACAAAGCACTGCTCGTGGTAAAGCTCCCCGTTGCTGTTCACTATCTTCTCAGCCGGGGCGAAGCCGCTCTTGCAGCGCTCACACATGGCGTTGGCCAGAGCGTTGGCCATGTTGCTGAGGAGAACAAAAAAACACTATCATCAGGATCAGAATGCACCGAAAAAGTTGAAACACACAAAGAAACGTACACAATTATCACATCAGTTTTTAATCTGACATAACCTCATTTATAACACAATGTATCTGTCGTGTTTCTGTAAGAAATGATTCCAAAGCATAGGCCGGGGTCATGCCAGGACACACCAAATACCAATAATGTTACATCTGTCACGTGTTTCTCCTGCCTTGAACAGCTGGAAGACGTACTTAACACAAGGAGAGAGGTGAGAACGGAAAACGTGATGCAAGATGTTATCAGCCGTTGCAAACTCGCACACAACATCTTGGTTCTGGGTTTGTTTTGGCTCGGCCTATCAGGGTGTGGGGATCACTGAGGTGGGAAAACCTACGTGTTGACTTTTCAGAGTCGAGCTGAAGTTACAGTTTATACAACTGCACTGTTTCAACAGTGAGTGCTGTGTTCACACTGCAAGTCATTTTCAATGGAAGCAACAAACTGACGGCCGGCGCGAACTACCAACAACTAATCAAATTTGAGCTGGTCTCAACTTTTTTTTAAGTGCGTCAACGATTAAATTGTCAACCAATTGTATGTTGTTGTTTCGACCTGTTGCGTTCCATTGAAAACAAATGTCGTTATCCAGTTCATAGTGCTATTTAACGACATAACTATGTCAATGAGCACTTGAGCAACACTTCAACGGAGACTCTGCGACAATGTAGGTGGCCACGCTTGTTGCTTTTGTCTCTGATAGTCTAACTATAGCATACGTGATGCGTGTGCGCATGCATAGATATGAGTCAATATCATGTAACGAACATAAAAACATTAGTCTGACGTAGTCCGATGACTGCCTTAAGAACAAACCTGGTGTAACAAATGAAGCCAATCCTGCCCTTTATTTTACTGCTTCTCTGCAAAACGTGAGAGCAATATATCAGCGGGGCCGGGCCCCAGGCTACATATCTTCTACATTGGAGGCACTGGTGCCAGAAGCTGACACACAAACGTGGTCACAGCCCAAAACCTGCTGATCTGGATACCAACACTTTGGGAATTCTAGAGAAGGGAAGAAGAAGAGAGAAGAAGTCCTGCTATCAGTTAAACACAGCTGGCTGTTTGGTCCAGTATGTATCTGAATGACCTGAAGTAATCTTATAACTGGATAATTCTCTATAATCTAATATATATTTTCATATCGCCCCACCCTACATCGATTCCAGATTCATGCTTTGGCTGAACCTTGCACTAAATCCATCACGATCCCATCATAAGTTGAAAACAATGTCATAAAACTGCAAATGTGCAAAATTGCCACACACTAATTAATCAACAGCTAAAATAAATAATAACAACACCGCTTAGAACCCGAATCAGACTGCAAGTACACGAGGACATGTTGCAGAAAGACGTGTTAAAAGAGGAAAAGAGAGAGGAAGAGAGAACGGTGGGAACATCCTGGTGTCTCTGCTTTGTTTGAAAGGTCGGAATACCAACGTGTATCCAGGCAACACACACACACACACACACACACACACACACACACACACACACGCACACACACACGCACACACACACGCACACACACACAAAAGGCAGGGTAAAATGTTTATGGAGTCATGCCATCTGTTCATATTAACTTAGTTGGATCCATTTGGGAATTAACAACAAAATCCCCCAAACTCTCAGACACACTGCTCATCACTGTACTCTGAACTGCTCCAGGTTCAGATGGAGGACTAAGCACAGCCTCCATCTGGGTCCACTTCTCAAACTTATCAAACAGACGTTGTTGATATCACACATGCAGACGGCCCTGCCCTATCTGAAGGGTTTTTGGGAGGAAGTGACACATCCCCGAAGGCATTTCCCACCCTCCTATCTGCCTCTACCACCCTACGGGAGCGAGAAACAAGCCTATACGTAGTTGTAGGACTGAAATAAAATAAGGTTTTCTTCATTAAACTCAAAGTGCTTTGTCCATCTGCACCATCCAGGCTCTCCATCCAGCGTCCTGACTTTAGTAACAGTACTTTCAGTTGTAAGGTGAGTAAAACAGGGTGTGTGTGTGATGTCCACCCCATAGACTTTTTAGATTCAACATCAAATTCTTGCAAAGAGTTTGTGTCATTGTAAACCCCACCATGCTGACCTGAGACTATAAATGGAGGCTGGTTGTCAGACTGTTATGAATACCTTCTGTTCCCTTCGTCCTCCTCTGGCCTCCATGTGTCTTCAGTTTCCTTTACTTTTGCATCTCCTCTACTCTCTCCTCTGTTTCTGTAAACATCTGCAAACATCTGTAGGGCTATATAGGCAGTGGAATAATCCATCATTCATTTTTCATCTCTTATGACAATATTATGGAAACTCAGATATTGCTCCCAGCTGTCTAAAGTTTTGTACTACTTTCATCGCATATTTGCATTTTCTTCTTATACACATTTTCACATGTTTTGGTTAAACAATGTCTGTGCTCAACAGTCTTTTATTTATGTCCGATTTTGTTTTTAAATACCACACGTATGGGCTTCAATGTCTCCATGACTAACAAGACTCTCAGTCTATCATCTCCTTGTCCCACCTGAGCGAGAACACCTTTAGCCAAAATCAGATTTTTATTTTCCACCAGGCTTCAAAATGTCCTTCCACAAACACTGTGGGTGACCCCCACGTCCATGTTTTCCCACAGCCTACAATGAGGCCAGATCAGTCCGAAATACACGACGTATATTTAGCCTTCCTACCCCTCATGAACACATACTCCGAATGCCAAGCCCCTTCCTCCTGTGTGCTCACTCCGGTAGTGCTCCGAGCTATTCCTGCACAAATACATGGCGCCCATCTTAACCAAATCAAACCAGGCAGGTCACCCCCGGCTGCTGGAATATCAGAATTCCTCACATTCTGTAGCACTACAGTAAGCTCTGAGCACACACACACACACACACACACACACACACACACACACACACACACACACACACACACACACACACACACACACACACACACACACACACCGCGTCAGAGACCGAATTCCACACCACACACACACACACACACACACACATCTACTACCTCGTAGCGTTTTTCCTGCTATCAAATTAACTGGTATGTCAGTTACCAAAATGCACAATTCTTAATCTGTGACAGTAATGTAGTGATGCGGTAAATCATCCACCAATCACAAGCCAGGGAATCAAACTAGAACTCCGGTCGAGAGTGGAAGTGTGTCCCTGAGAATAAAAAAGCTTTTAAGTTAACCACATAACTAACTAAATACGGCAGGTTTACTGGCTGCTGAGTCAAATCTTTTCACACCACACTAGTAGGATTTTTCTGGATTTTTTCTGCTCATACCGTTTGTAAAAGTAATAATAATAAAACTAGGTATAATATTCACTACGTATATGGTAAATGGTATTCTGGTTGACAAGTAACTACCGTTCTTTAACCCCTGTTTCTCTAAACTGTGTACTTACAAGCGGGCATAAAAATCACAAAACTCCTTATAGACTTTGACGTCACTCTTCCGTCTCTGGGACTTGGAGACCGGGACCTCGGCCTCCCCCCCGTCCCCGGCCTGAAGCCTCTGGTGGTAACCGTTCGTCTCCCCTTGGGGAACGTGGTCCGGGGCTTCTCCATCCTCAGGTATGGACGGTGGCAGCGCACGACCGTTCATCTCCATACTCGTCTACGACAGTCCAAAGTGAACCGCAGAAGTCCGCCTAACACCTGTGTCCAGAACGCTCCCAGTAGTAATCCTCTGTGTTCAGTTTCCACTTCCAGTAACGGGAAACGCTATCGAGTGAGCAGCGGGAGCTGTAATCCACATAGCAAGAGGGAGAGCGAAACACTGATCGGACTGCGCTGGGTGTACTCTCCCTCTCTCTCCCTCTCCCTCCCTCCCTCACACACTCCCTCTTTCTCTCATTCCCACATCAACTCTTTCTCTTTTTTCTCTCACACAGTCAGTCAGCCCTCCTGTCCCACTCGCCGTCTATTCTTGGGCAGGTTACTGAAACTAAAGAGCCCACCCTGACGCCTATCCAGACAGAGGTCACTGTGCCATCACTCACACTCTCACACACACACACACACACACACACACACACACACACACACACACAC